GCATGTGCAGCAGAGCTCACCCAGGCAGTGCAGTGCAGATGCAGGAGCTGCTCACCCCTGCCTGCCCCACATCTAGCCCACAGCTACTTCCATGGCACTCCACATGGGGCCAAGCCCCATCTGCCACCTGCAGGTGGTGGCTCATCATACCAGGCAGCTGAGCGGGTGGAAGCTGGCAGGGAGCTGGTACTGGAATCCGGCATGCTGGGACAGGAGCCACTCAGCTGCAGCTTTCCCCTTGCCTGGCTGGGAATGGCCACTGCCACTTCCCATACTAACTGCTGCCCAGAGGAGCTGTTGGAAGCAGGGGGAACTAAGCAGTACCTTGGCAGCTGCAGCAGCAACAGAAGTAGCCTTACCAGGAAGCTGGTGCACTGGCTGGGGGAGCCAGGGCCACCAGCCAGCATGGGGCAGGTGTGGGCTGGAGAACCTCAGGGGCAGATGCAATCAACTGGCAAGCCAAATTTAGCCTGTGGGTTGGATTTTGTCCACCACTGGTGTATAGTATGCAATTAGTGCTTTTGCCACAGGTTGGGCATATCTTGACCTGTGTTTCCCTTTGATTATGTAGCCTTTCCAGGAGACTGTAGTGTTTTTGTACTTACTTGTTCCTGGCTGGTGCCCTCTTATGTCTCATTTTCAACAATGAAATACCCATTTGACTAAAGGGAAATAGGCCATACAGAAAAAGGAGATGCCCACAGTCAACAAATATGCTCTTAAACACATGGCTGGTTTCAGCCTTTTTTCCATTTGTGGTTTCCAAAGATTTAAGTGCTACTTGATTCAGATTTCTCATGGGTCTGGTTGGAAGGTACATCAAAGACCTGCTTTTTTAACCATGACTGGCCAAACTTCAGACTTCAGACTGCTGCACATAAAGACCTGCACCTTTGCGGTTCACTCTGGGGCTCAGCTCAGATGTCAGGTGCTCACTTGCCACGTGGAATCTTCCAAGGTCCATTCCACCACCACCACTACAGTTGCCAGAATTTTTTTTTTCATTTGTGCATTTGGTGCAGATACAGCATTTCTCTACAGCAAAATATGTATTTTCCCCCCTTGTACAAGGGATGTTCTCTCTCTCTCTCTCATTGTTCAGGTAGCATCTCGCTGCCATCCTGAGGAATTAACCTGGGACCCCCTGAGCTCCCAGTCTGGGAGCCATTCCATTCCATCACTCTCCCGCTGCCACTGCTGCAGCTCCAGGCTCTCCCTCTCTCCCTCCTCTAGCTTCTGCTTCCTGTGCCTGCCCCTGGGAGTGGGGCACTGTAGCCCTTGGGACTTCCAGGGACTTGTGGGGAGTGGGGGTGGGAATCAGAAGTCAGACAGCCCTGAGTTAGGTCACCCCTATCTCAAAAGGTTTGGCTCAGGAGTTTTAGCCAGATTAGGACCTGGTAGGTTCCAATTCCATTATCCGTTTTCAACCTGGGTCTCTGGAAGTGAAAGTGTGCCAAACATGCAGACGACATATGATTTTTTGATATGAACAAAACTCACCAAACTCCTTTTTTCATCTACTTTGTACCAGATGGGAAAACCTATTTGAATACTCCTTAGTCTCAGTTGCTCCAATTCTCCTACTGTTTTTCTACTACTATCAACATTTCAAAGTTACTTGTCCCCATTTTATGTAAGATTTATCCTACTCATAACTAAAACAGTTTTTAAAAAGTATTAGTACTACAAGGTAAATTAGAAATCAAGTGAACTTTACACTAAAAAAAGGTGGGGTTTTTTGTCTTTGTATTATTTTTTCCAGTATTCTTCACAACTTGCATTAAATAGGTGTCTGACCAATGCACAGAACTAAACTGTTTTGCTTTTTCATGATGTACATATACACATTATCTGGATATTCTTTATTAACATCCAAATGCATCAAGAGAAGGACTAAGTCCAAATAATATGCAACTAACCACTAGAAACTATAGGTTAATGGGCTGGTCTACCTGCTGGGGAAAGTGAAATAATGACACAAAGAATACCCCAGTTTCTTTGCTCAGCTATTTAGAAGCAAATATTTAAGTAGTCTCATTGCCTCCTAAGGGTCTTAAGAACACCTTGTCTACAGACATTCCCATCCCTGCTCAGGTAAGTCTCCCCCAAGCCTATTCCACGCAGGTATCCTTCCTCACAGACCTCTTGCTTGATTAATCTAAAAGGTTTCCTTTCATTTCCCTGCTTAAGAGACAGAAAGCCCTGGATACTCTTTCCTGTAGGGACATCATTAGAAACAACCGTATGATCTGCAACTATAGCTTCAATGTTTAAAGGGTGCCCCAAAAGCCTTATTAGACACATTAGAGTGCCTGTGTGTGCCCCAAGATGCAGCACCCCATTACAAAATCAAACAACACCTTCTACATGTTGGCTGTAAAGAAACCCTCCAGCCTTCATCTGTAAGGAGCCCAAGAGGTATGCAAAGTATGTAAGATAGGTAGATATTTCTTCACCTTCAGAAGGATTTTTTCTTTTTTGTGGGGGGTGGGGGGTGGGTGTTGAAGAGACATCAGAGTTAAAGAAGATGTCTTTATTTTTCTTTAAACAAACTTTGGCAAGAATACTAAGGTCTGGAATCCCAAAAGTAAGATATTCTTACAAACAAACAAAATTCAAACAAACTTTTCACACACAACTGTAAACATGTTCATTACTTGAAGAACTGAAAGCAGTCTGAGAATGTAGTTTCCCCATTTAAATTACACTTGGTGAAAAATATAAAATTACTGAACTATCAAAACCATTCAAGAGAGACCTCTTGTGGTGCTTAAGCATACGGTAAACCATGATAAAGAAACCAGTATAAGAATCTATAAACAATATCCAGTCAAACTCCAATGTCACACACAAACAAATCCTAAATGTATTCCACTAGCAGGAGAATCTTGTCCTATTTAACAGACATTACTTTAATAGCCCAATAATGTACTATAGTTTCTAATATTAAGAAACTAGCCTCCAGCTATGAACAAAAGACATGCAAAAATAAACCAGTACACATTCTTCCTCAGTAGTATTTTATTGAATGCTGTCAAGTCTAATGTAACCTAAGAAACCATAGCATCATAGAAGACAATGTTTATAAGAAAACTGATAATTTAACTTATGCCTATCTGGGAAAATTAGTTGGATAGACTGAAAAGGGCCAGATTTTCCTCTATAGAAGAAGTGTGAAATTAACTGATATTTTGTTATATCTATGCAAAAGTAGCAGGTCTTACGCAAAACACTCATAGTTAAATCTCTAAGACTAAAAATCATACGTTAGCTAATTTTCAGTTTTGTCAAAGATGGTCACCATAGTCACTGGATAATATTTTTTACTGTAGAACTGATTTACCACCTGCTTTCCCAAATTTCTAGAGAACTATGCACATTGTGAGTTGGCTCACAAGGACAGTATTTGGTAACTTCAATGTACTTGACCCACATATGACATTGCAGTAGGGTCTGCGGCATTCCACTTTGTAGGTGGCATGCAAAAACAGCCAAGAACAAGAATGTCTTGTGCTTTATTTGAACAACCTGCAACATAATTAGTTCAGCTTTGTAACAGTTTGCTCAAAATCAGTTTATTTTGTCAGAGAATGAGAATAATATTTAAATATTAATATATCAATTTATCAATTTAATTAATTTTTGGTCTCAAAGAGCTCTAGAAATAGTTTCTAATCCCCATGTTTTCAAACTCTAGATTTTGCATTTGGATTGTAGATTTACTAAAATGATTAAAATCTCATGCCACTAGACAACTTTGTATTCCGATTTCTCTCTTCTCAGAGGGTACAGATATTCTTTCCAAAATCAAACAATTAACAATCGCTAAATTGGCTTAAAGTGAGTCTCCTTTTCAGAGAAGGTACAATTCGCTTATTTTGCAGATCAGTACCAAGTTCTCCCATCTTCTTGTACAGAATCTAACAAAGCAAACCAAGGAATGCTTAATTGAGGGCCCAGACTTTCTCTAGAAGAAAATATCAGTGGAAATATTTTGTCTTGTAGAGGCTGCTGTTCTCACCTGAAATGCTTACGACCTGTTATTGCTAAGATCTGTATGGTCCTAAGAAATGTCAGATGTGCAGCTGAAATCCCAGAGGGCTTTATAAGAAACATACTTGCTTTAATGTACATTTGAAAATGCCTAAAATTCAGTTCTTTTGAAAACTAGCAATATAATTAGCCACTAGCTAAATTTCTCCTGACTGACGTGAATAGTTCATTTATACTACCTCCTGCTTCTGAATCTGGCAGAAAGAATTAATGTGAGAGAGAAGCAGTACTTACAGGAGTGCTGCCATTGGAAAAAGTGTTCATGCTGATGGAACTGCTCATCTTGTCAGAAGACAAGGAAGGTGGTGATGGACTACGCTTCTCCAGGGGGTCTTGGTGTAACATATCCTGGCGCTGGAGGTATTCACGCCATGCCCTCTGAATGCTGAATTGGAAGAACAGGTGAATATATATAAGCAACTGACTTTCAGCAAAATCCAAAAAAGCTACAGGAAACCCTTACTGCAGGTGGACTGGGTTACCCAAAATGTATTTAGTCCAAGCTGACATTCATTTATTGGCTGTTTGTAAATTTTCACCACGCACATGGCTGCCATCGATCATAGCTGCCATTGATCATTCTTAAATGATCCACTACGAGTAGGTAACTGACTATTTGTTATTTGTAGTATGTAATTGGCTAACTATTGTTTCTATTCTTGATGGATAACTGAAACTCTAAACAGAAGGGAACTTTTCAGTCTTGACTAGAAGATATGCATATGCAAATACAGAGTTTTTCACACATGAAATCAGGTATTCTCACATAGGACTACCACTGATTTCATAGACATTAGGGCTGGAAGGGACCTCAGAAGATCATCGAGTCCAGCCCCCCACCCAAAGGGCAGGAAGTCAGCTGGGGTCATAGGTTCCCAGCAAGATAAGCATCCAATTTGCTCTTGAAGGTGTTCAATGTAGGTACTTGAACCACCTCTGATGGCAGGCTGTTCCAGACCTTGGGGGCTCGGACAGTAAAGAAATTCTTCCTTACGTTCAGCCTGAAACGGTCTTGTAGTAGTTTATGACCGTTCAACCTCGTCATCCCTTGGGGCGCTCTGGTGAACAAACGTTCCCCCAGATCCTGGT